TATATATATATATATATATATATATATATATATATATATATATACGGTTATAGTTATATATAAAATAAACAATTAAATAACACATTACAATAATTTAAAATCCATTAAAGTTAACATCTTTTTTAAAAAGCCCATCACAGTCAATTCCTAAAAGCTTGATGAAATAGGGAAGTTTTTACTTGCTGGCAGAAGGAGAGTAAGGAGGGAATTATCCTTGCTTCCTGAGTAAGGAAGTTTCAAACTCTTGGAGCAGCTACAGAGAAGGCCCTCTCTTTTGTTCCCACCAAATAAGCCTGAGCATTTAGTGGGACAGAGAGAAGAGCTTCTCCTAAAGATCTTAAAGTCACAACAGGCCTGTCTGGGAAGCTACAGTTCTTCAGATTGACTGGACCTGAGTCATTTATTGCTGTGTAGATCACAACCAGCACAGATTTAGCATCCGAAGCCCAACAGGTGAGAGCCCTTGTCTACCGCTTCTTCCCACTCCTAGATCTGGGCTCACCATCCTTGTTCATTCCTGCCTGCAGGCATTTCTTCAGGCGACAGGCTTGGCATTGGTTCCTGTGTGCTTTGTCCACGGGACACATCCCTGTGCCAGCTTGGCACCTGTGGAGAACAATACAACAGTGCAATGGACATGGTCTCAGCAATGGACCCACCTGCTTTATGTACTCTGCCACTTGGTTTTGTTCTTTACAACACAAAGCAGATGTTCTCGATCAAGGAAAAATCAAATTCTGAGCTAAGAAAAGCTGGATTCAGGGGACTGTTTTATTATGTAAATTCATATATTTGTATTTTTTTTTTCAAAAAGAGATTAGCATTCACTAATCATGGAACAAAGCAAAGAGACACAAAGCTCGTTGATGCATTACCCCCTGAGGACAGAAAATCCTACAAAGCCTGCATTTCTGGATGCTGAGATTAGAGCCAGCCTTGCCCATATATTTTGAAGCCTAAAGACCAGTAGTTTGTTTTTGAAAAAGCACTAAAGCTCAGGAGTTTATCACACAAGAACAATCCCGTGCAGAAACTGGATTTAAAGTGAAAACTTGTTTTTCCACACAATGTTCGGGGTTAACCCAAACAGAAAGTAGAAATAACCCATAAAAGTGGGTTGTTTTTTCATGTGACGTTGGCATCAAGGAGAAATAACGTCATTAATCCGAAAGGAAAGTCACTAAAATCCGATCCTTTTTACTTCCCATGCAGAAACTGGATTTAAAGTGAAAACAACACACTTTTGCAGGTTGTTTTTCACATGACATTTGAGGTTAACGCAAACAGAAAGTAGACAAAACCCATAATTGCAGGTCGTTTTTCAGACAACATTTGCGTGAAAGAGAAATAACACAAAAATAACCCAAACAGTAAGCCGACAAAACCTGATCCTTTTTACTTTCAGGAACTTCCGAAAGTAAAAAGGAGCAGGTTTTGTCAACTTTCCGTTTGGGCTAATGACGCATTATTTCTCCTTTACACAAACACGTCCAATAAGCAACCCACATTTGCAGGATTTTTTTTTTTCAGATTTTTAAATCCCCATTCTGCACGGGATTTAAGGAATTTGCCTCCGTGTGATAAACTCCTAAGAATGATCTGAAGAAGTATTTTGTGCTTATAGTGTGTAGAGGAAATGGAGTTAGAAAGTACAGAGAGCTCTGCCTTCGGCAGACAGTCCTAAGGTATCACTGATGGATTTTTCTTTGAATTTGCTAAATGGCCAACACAACTAACCATGAATGTTTTCTAAAAAGATAGTTTTGCAGATCCTCTGCCACAGCTCCATTCTATGGAATCCTGGGATCCATTGTTTCATGAAGGATTTAGAATTCTCTGTTGGAGAGGACTATCTCACACAACCCAGGATTCTGTAGGATGCAACCATAGCAGTTAAAGTGGCAGAGGATCTGCAAAACTTTCTTCTTGTTGTGTGCCTTCAAGTTGTTTCCAATTTATGGAGACCCTATCATGGGATTTTCTTGGTAATTTTTTTCAGAGGACGTTTGCCATTGCCATCCTCTGAGGCTAAGAGAGTGTGACTTGCCCAAGGTTACCCAGTGGGCATTTGGCTCAGTGGGGATTTGAACCCTGGTCTCCAGAGTAGTATTCCAACACTCAAACCACTATGCTACACTGACTCTCAAAGGGCCATAACTGTAACTTATCATAGAATCATAGAGTTGGAAGAGACCTCAAGGGCCATCCAGTCCAACCCCCAGCCATGCAGGAATACACAGTCAAAGCACTCCCGACTCCTCTCCAGCCTCTGCTTAAAAACCCTCTAAGGCAGTGTATTTCACTGTCAAACAGCTCTTACTGTTGGGAAGTTTTTCCTAATGTTGAGATGGAATCTCTTTTCCTGTAGCTTGCATCCATTGCTATGGGTCCTATTCTCAGGAGCAGCAGAAAACAAGCTTGCTCCTTCCTCAGTATAACATCCCTTCAAATATTTAAACAGGGCTATCATATCCCCTCTTAACCGTCTCTTCTCCAGGCTAAACATACCCAGTTCCTTAAACCGTTCTTCATAGGGCATGGTTTCCAGACCTTTCACGATTTTGGTCGCCTTCCTCTGGGCATGCTCCAATGAAGTATGAAAAAAATTCTAAGCAAGGTAAATTTTTAGTTAAACAGATGTTTGGCTTTTAGTTTACTATTGCTGTAGGATATTTTATGCGGTATATTACGTGTTTTATCTTTTTAATATGTTTTAATGTGCTTTTAATGTTGTAATTTAGGGGGTTTTTTTGTAATAGAAGTGTTCATTTAATTTTGTAAAACCTTTTTAACAGTTATGTTTTAGTGTACTTAGTTCCTAACTTGATGTGGGTTCTTAGGAACCTATATATGTCAAATGCCATGTCCCTTTTTGCTGTTGGGAGAAAAGAAGACTGTTTGTGTACAAGTATGGGGAAGAAGAGAAAGCCAGATGGCATTGATGGGTTTTAAAAACCTTCCTTTGTGGCCTTCCTCCCTTTTTTTCTTTTTTCTTTTTGGTCTCCTCTAGCATAGGAGAGTAGCTTATTTATCAGAGCAGACTATTGGGTCCTGTGATTGTTTATTCTCACTGGAAGAGAATGAGGGCTCTCCAGGTTTCGGGGAGATAAAGGTGTTTCACATCACCTGCTACTTGCTGAGGATCCCATGGACAGCCAAAAGGACAAACAAATGGGTCCTAGAAAAGATCAAGCCAGAGATATCCCTAAAAGCCAAGATGACCAAATTGAGGCTGTCATAGTTCGGACATATCATGAGAAGAGAGGACTCTTTGGAAAAGACGATAATGCTGGGAAAGGTGGATGGAAGTAGGAAGAGGGAAGGTCACAGGCCAGATGGATAGACTCTATGAAGGAGGTCACTTTGGGTCTTAAGGATTTGGGTCTGTAGGAATTAAAGCAATGGAGGACAGGAGGTCTTCTTGGAGAGGTTTCATCCATAGGGTCGCCATGAGTCAAGATTGACTCGAGGGCAGTTAACAAGAACAAATGTGGGTTGGAGCATAAAGCAGGGAGGGAGAATTATGGAGTTTATCACATGGGATAACATTTGGAATTAATCCAAACAGAAATTAGACAAAATGCACAATTGCAGTTGTTTTTCAGACGACGTTTGTGTGAAAGAGAAATAATGTGACATTAACCTGAACGGAAAGCTGACAAAACCCGCTCCTCTTTACTTTGGGGAACTTCTGAAAATAAAAAGGAGCGGGTTTGGGCAACTTTCCCTTCAGGTTAATGTCACGTTATTTCTCCTTTACACAAATACGTCTGAAAAACAACCCGCTTTTGCGGGTTTACCCCCCCAGATTATTAAATCCCGTTTCTGCATGGAAATTAAGCAATCCATGTGATAAGGTCCCAAGAGAGAGAGAGGAAGAAAGTATGATGGAAGCAGCACCCCTAGATGCATGATTGAGAAGAGGTATGGTGATGGCTTCTTTACAAGCGCTAAGTTCCCATTTGTTTGTACTAGTGTAACTGCTGTTTGATATCGGGATGTGCGGTAAAGTCCTTACAATTAGTGCCTTTGCTGTTCAGGTTAATGTCAGGCTGAAGCATTTTGGGAGTTGCAGTCCAAAAAAATAATTTTCCTACTCTCTAGATTTACATCTAAACCCTGTTTAGCTTGTTCCTTTGCTCTTCCAGGTAAACCTATTCCTGTTGTTGCCAAATCTGGACCACCAGTGCTCTACCTGCTCTAAAGAAAATGTGAAAATGTTGGGGGATCTGATCGGGGGTCTCCAACCGTACCACACTGGATTTGCTCTTAACCCAGCTGCTGTCCTCTTTACTTTCCAGCCCAGAAGCAGTGGATGGGACCAGGTCCAAAGATGGCACACCTTACCTGTAGATCAGCTTCCTGCGGACACTGCGCTTGAAGAAACCACTGCAGCCATTGCAGGCATAGATGCCGTAGTGCTTCCCGCTGCTGGTATCTCCGCACACCTTGCAGAGCAAGACTGGGCTCCCGACTTTTCCAGGAGCCACGCTGAGCCCTATTGGGAGGAGACAAAATAGGTCTCAGAGTAAAGCTACCCAAAGGGAGCATCGCACATCCAAACAAAAAAAAAACAACAGCATCCATTGGTATTTATTCCCAACTTATGTTGAATTAATAATGTTGCCAAGTTTTCAAAATAGCAATATGGGACAGTTAAAATTTATGGCATGCTGGGTTGGCAGTCAGGAAGGAGTTGTTAACAAGTTTGTACTCTATCTAAATACCAAATGAAATGTTGATTTCAAGTTAATTTAGCCATGCATTTCTCTGCAAAATTAACATGTCTGTTGCTGCTGCTGTGTGCCTTCAAGTTGTTTCTGCCATATGGCGACCCTAAGATGAATTTATCATGGGGTTTTTTGGCACGTTTCTTCAGAGGAGGTTTGCCTTTGCCTTCCTCTGAGGCTGAGAGAATGTGACTTGCCCAAGGTCACCCAGTGGGTTTCCATGCCCAAGTGTGGATTCAAACCCTGGTCTCCAGAGTTGTATTCCAAAGCTCAAACCACTACACCATGCTGATTCTCCTTTATATCATGCCCACACCAAAAATACAGGATTTTGGGGGGGACATTTCTTTGTGTCTATATCAAAAGGGAAAGCTTTCCAGCCCTTAAATAGGGGACATCTGTAATAATAAGGAACATTTGCAAGGCTTATATGGGACAACTTTTCTGGCCCTCGAATAAGGGGCATCCTTTATAATAAGGAATGCTTGGCAACCCCATTTTGATCGGAGGTGATCTCTAAGACAAAACATACCACAGTTCCCCATAGAACATGGAAGTAAGGTGTTAGAATGAACTTTGAGCTACTGCTAATAAGTTACTATCTTTGGAAGAAGGGAGCCCCAAGTTACCTTTGAAAAACAATATGAAGTGGTAACCAAATTGCACTATTGGTATTAGGACTCACAATTTCTAATGATAATTTGGAAAGAAAAGCCATTATGGCATTCTTGTGCCAGTTAGAAGATTTGTGTTTTGAAAGTACTGGAGAAGTAGTAAGCAACACAATAAACTGTCCTTTTTCATGTAATAATAGCAATGAAATAATTTATAAAACACTAGTAAATAGGAACAAAATTGCTTTTTAAAAGTAATTTCCCAAACTCTGCTGCTTTCCTGTCAAGATCCCAGGAAAGCCACTTTCAGTTTAGACAGCCAGATAGGTAGTCAATGTCTTGCCAAGAAAGCTCTATGATAGGTTTGTTTTAGGGTCTCCATAAGTCAGAAACGACTTGAAGGCACACAACAAAACAACAACAACAACAACACAGTCAATAATAAAACTGTCTATCTAGACATCTACCAATTTATTTAACAAAACAGTTCTCCGTGAGCTCCTTTTTATTTGTCTGTAGCAGAACCAGCATAGAGAAAGAGAACCAGCATGGTGTAGTGGTTTGAGCGTTGAAGAGACAAAGGAGACAAGGGTTTGAATCTCCACTCAGCCATGGAAACCCACTGGGTGGCCTTGGGCAAGTCACACTCTCTCAGCCTCAGAGGAAGGCAAAGGCGAAGCCCTTCTGAACAAATCTTGCCAAGAAAACCTATGATAAGTGTGTCTTAGGATTGCCATAAGTCAGAAATGACTTGAAGACACAGAACAACAAAAAATCTCCTTACAGCCACAGGGCCAGAAGGAGGAGGATCCTGCCTACAAAAGAGATCCTTCCCACCATATACTATCATCTTAACTAAAGACTGAAACAATATGTAGGCATCTGACTA